CCTGGGTTCAGGCAATTCTCCTGCCTCAGCCTCCTGAGTAGCTGGGATTACAGGCACGCGCCACCATGCCCAGCTCATTTTTTGTAGTTTTAGTAGAGACGGGGTTTCACCATGTTGACGAGGATGGTCTCGATCTGTTGACCTCGTGATCCACCCGCCTCGGCCTCCCAAAGTGCTGGGATTACAGGCTTGAGCCACCGCGCCCGGCCCTAATTTTGTATTTTTAGTAGAGACAGGATTTCTCCATGTTGGCCAGGCTGGTCTTGAACTCCTGACCACAGGTGATCCATCTACCCACCTTGGCCTCCCAAAGTGCTAGGATTATAAGCGTGAGCCACCGCACCTGGCCCCAGCCAATTTTTTATATCTGTTTGTTTTATCAGGATTGTGCTATAGGAATAGTAAGTCTTCTCAATAGAAAATATACCTTGGAGATTGGTCAAAATAAATATTAAATTTTTAAAATCCTTAATTCTTTATCTTTGATTTTGAACATAAAAAGCAGAAATATTTCCTCCTTTGATGAAAAACAGTTTCTTCTCATGAGATCTGATAGGTTAAGAAAAAGAAAAAAAAAAGTTTCTAGGAACAAAGAAAACTTTGAAACCAGTCTCTTTTTTTACATCACTTTTTGAATATTTACTGAATGTAATATTTGTGTCTCGTAGAATGGAGACGTATGCATTTCAATTCTTCATCCGCCTGTAGATGACCCACAGAGTGGAGAACTGCCTTCTGAAAGGTGGAATCCTACTCAGAATGTGAGGTAAGGTGTTACATAAGGAGGAATCTGGTTCTGGACTTAATATCCTTACTGTCTTTGCCCCTAGTAAAACAAAATTAACATGTAAAAAGTCATCTTTCTTATATTTAGTTGTTTTGTCTTCAGCTAGAGCTTTAAGAAATATGTATGCGTCATTTTGTAGAGCTGTATTTACTAAACTATAATGTATAAGATTCTCATTTCCCTGTGTTCACTTAGGAACTGATTTTGAAGCCTGAATCCCTACTCTTACCTTCTCCTAGTTCTACTCTGCTTTTTTATTAACATCTAACATTAGTATCATTCATTGGTTACAGTTAATAAACATGTTTTGTGTGCCGTGTCACTAAATAAAAAAATTTAAAAACTTTAAAAAAATGTTAATTATTAACTGAAGTCCATATTGTTTTCACATTTCCTTAGTTTTTACCTGTCATTGTTTTGCTCCAAAATCTTTCATATGTATAAATATATATGTATATATGTATATGTATACGTTTTAAAATTTTCTATAGAGATGAGGTCTTACTAAGTTGCCCAGCTGGTCTCAAATGCCTGCCCTCAAGCAGTTCTCCCCCTTTGGCCTCTCATAGCGCTCGGATTACAGGCATGAGCCACTGTGCCCAGCACATCACATCATCACATTATAATTTAATAGTCATGTCTCCACAGGCAACTCTCTCTCTCTCTCTCTCTCTCTCTCTCTCTCTCTCTCTCTCCCCCTCTCTCTCCCTCTCTCTCCCTCTCTCTCCCCTCTCCCCTCTTTCCCCTCTCTCCCCTCTCTCTTTCTCTTTCTCTCTCTCAGTTTTTGAAACAGTGTCTTGCTCTGTCACCCAGGCTGGTGTGCAGTGGTGCAATCACAGGTCACAGTAGCCTTGAGCTCCCGGACTGAAGTGAGCCTTATACCTCAGCCTCCCCAGTAGCTATGACTGTAGGTGTACACCATCATGCCTAGCTATTAAGCAACTCTTGAGTGTAAATTTTCTTGGTTTTGATGACCTTGACAATTTTGAGGGGTACTGATTAGATATTTTGTAAAGTGTTCCCCAGTTTAGATTTTTCTTATTTTTTTTTTTCATGATTAGTCTAGGGTTATAAGTTTGGGGAATAAAGATCAGAGAAGCAATGTGCCATTTTTATTATGTCCTATCAGTGTGGCTTATCCCTGTTGATGTTACTGGCTGAGATAATGTTTTTAGCTTTTCTGCACTGTAAAGTTGCTCTTTCCTGAGCTTTTCATTCTTTACTCCTTAGAAGGAAGTCATATGCATAGCCTACAACTAAGGAGAGGGGAGCTATACCTCCTTGAAGCCAGGATATCTATATAAATTATTTTTAATTCTTCTGCATAGATTGATCTATTCTTCTCCCTTTATTTGTTTATTCAGTCATTTGTTAAACATTTTTACTGATACCAAAACTATTTGATTAGTATCTCTAGGTTTATCAAAAGCTAAGAATTGGAAGCTTCCTGACTTGTAGAAGAAGCTCTTCAAGATATATTAAATGACTATTGATTATGTTTTTTGTTACTCATTCCTTTGGGTACCTTGTTCCATCCAATTTATTTAGAAAGAGTTGAGAAAATAGATATATTAAAGTTTTTAGCACAACTTACTAATATATTTTTTAAGACAGAAAAAAAAGTTACTTTCTTTTTAAATTCAAATAAATGTGTTGTTACACCTCACCTGCACAACCATCATCCCTTTAAATTTTTTTTTCTTATATTTCTTTTTTTTTTAAAGACATTATCTTGCTCTGTTGCCCAGGCTGGAATGCAGCGGTGCAGTGACAGCTCACTGAGGCTTCAACCTCCCGGGCTTGAGCAATCCTCCCACCTTAGTCTCTCGGGTAGCTGGGACCATATGCATGCATCACTGTGCCTGACCAGTATTTTTTTTTTTTTTTAATAGAGTGATGGGGTTTCTCCTTGTTCCCCAGGAGGTCTCAAACTACTGGACTCAGGCAATCCACTTGCCTCTGCCTTCCAAAATGCTCAGATTACAGGTGTGCCCCAACACACCTGGACTAATTTTTAAATTTTTTGTAAAGATGGGGTCTCACCATGTTGCTCAGGCTGATCTCAAACTCATGGGCTCAGGTGATCCTCCTGCCTCAGCCTCCCAAAGTGTTGGGATTACAGGTGCTCACACTATACCCAGACTCTGAATCTTTTATCTGTATGAGAATAATACCTGCCTCAGTAGGTTTTTGATAGAATTAAGTGAATAATGAATGTAAACCTACTAGAATGGTGTGTATTACCTGACTGGCTTGGGTTGCTGCTAATATTTTCAAGGGATTTTTCTGGTCTAATGTGAAGCAGTCATTTGCTGTCTATTATAAAAGAAATACATTTCTTAGTTCCCCATATTTATTTCATTTTTCTACAGGGAGACATAATTGCTAGATGCCTGTATCATAACCAGTTTAAGTAGTACAGAATTTATCTTGGGTGCTAAATACATGAAAATAACTAAGTAACTAAGATAAGTGTTTTGAGCTTTTTTTGCAGTACTATAGAATATGCTTTTTTGGATGGGAAAAGTATCGTATTAGCAAATTATATATACATGAATTATCTCAATAGACTTAATTTTAAATTAGTATTAACAATTCTGAGTTTTATGTTTTCTATTTTATTACTCAAGAGTATGTTTGAGGGTGCTGTGTCTTTAGAAGTAATTGTAGCACATTATTTTGACATTATAATTAGTGTGTGTAAAAGGTTTTTTAAAAGTATTTTAGATGATTTGTTGAAAAAAATTACACCCCAAAAAATCCTCAGTTGTCCTTTGATTATGATTCTGGTGCATGGGTTTTCAGGACCAGTAGTAACCCTAGAATAGAGGAAGTGGTAGCTAAGATACTGGTGATTCTTGGTTTTGAAGGTTGAATGTTGAATCAAATGCTTACACCCCGTCCCTCTTTGAGAAAAAAAGCTTCCCCTTTCCTCAGATACAAAGCCCCAAACAAGATTTTCCTCATTGCATTTTTTTGCTGCCTGCCTGGATAATGTATTGCCACCACCCACAGGAATTTAGGATTTTTATCCTTTACTTTTCTTGCATTTATACGCAAATGATGTCATTTGCCTTGTCTCAGAGAGCTTAAAATATTGGGAACATTTTTTTCTTTTAAAATAGGCCTACTTCTCGTTTAACCCAGTCTTTGGGAGACAGAGGATTCCTGTTATATGTTTATCTGTCCATCTGAAACTACCTTTGTTACTTTGGGTACCAGCATCATTTTTTTCTAACTATTGAGTCCCCAGGCCACCTGAGCCACAATTTAGGGACATTCCCCAAACTCAAAATCAAGCTTCCCCTGCTTTCATGCTGCTTTGTTTGGAAGCTTCACAACTACAATGAGTTATTTGGAGTTACACCTAAGATCTTCATACACAGCTCTACAAGGTATTTGCGTTGGAAATCGTTTACCTTTTTGGACTTTTTATCACTTAGCTCCATGTAATCATTGGGTAGTCCTTCAACATTTTGATCTTATTGGTGTTTTGAGGGGGCTGTGGGTTGTTTTGTACACTTTTTGAAACCTCATCTGTCTGGAATACCTGGTGGCGCTCAGAACTCGAGCAGAGGTCAGGAAAGCACTATCTAATGAGCAGATGTGGAATACATTTCCTTATCCCTTTTGTTTCTGTGTTCACTTTGTTTTGAGGCAAGGGGGTTTTAAAGTAAGTAGTAAACTGTTATATTTTCTGACAGGTCATTTATGGCACTGAAATATTAAGAGGGAAGATACAAGATGTAGTGAAAATTAGCAACTATTTTCGCCTTGTACCTCTCTGCTGCTGAATTATCTAGGGCCAGCAACTGTCTAAGGGTTCTGGGCTCTATATCCAGTTTATGGGTGGCTGTAGTAAGATGGCAGTGGAGATGATCCTGTTTTGGAGTCTTGTCTGCTGCATCTCAGACATCTGAAAGTGATTCCATATTCACGTTTGGTTTTCTTCTCCATAACCACCTGTACTCAAGACTATCGTTCAGCACGTCAGTGGACATATTTATAAAATAAAGTGGTACGTGGAGCACTTTCGTAATTTGAAGAAAAGTAAGGGATTCCAGTTACCTTCAAGAGCCTGAGTTAATCTTTATTATCAGAGCTGGTGTGTAGTGAGAGTTAGCCAACTTGGAAGAATTGCGCAGACAGATAATCAGCCAACTGGTGTTCACTAAAGACTCATCAGTAGCTTGCTACCTCTTGGGAAAGCCGGCATACTTCTTTTGAAAGAAAAGATTCACAGACCTCCTCCTCCCAGAGGCCCAGGATTAAATTGGTGGAGCTAGAAGTGGTGGGGAGGGTTTCTTCCTGAATTGGAAAGTTTTAAGGAGTAGGCATTTGTCAGCAAGAGTGGAGTTGGGAGGGTAGGGTACAGACGGGACCCTTGATGCTGCCACTTGTCTTTGATTAGGAGTTCACAGCACCATGCCTCTCCTGATGGAGGAAACAAAATGTACCTTAATTACATGCTCTGTCTAGAATGATGTGGGAGCTTTGGGGATAGGGTAGGGTGGGCGTGGGGGTATATACCCTTAGACTTTGCTGTAGAGTTCACAGGTGCTTTCTCTGAGACACCATCCCCAGAACTCCCTATCATATATGCTGTCAGCTCTGGAATAGTGAATAGTCTTGGTGTGGATTTGCTTTATGTTGAAAGAGGCATATATAATGTTTTCTTTTTCAATTGGAAAAATGCAATGTGAAACTAAGTTTATTAACCTAATCAATAGAGGCTGTTGTTTGATATGAAAGAGTTTGTCTCAGAAGTAGGGTAGAATATTTTTCTGTCTTGTCTTCTCTATAATCCATTGAAAGAACAGAGAGCCAGAGACATTGCCCCTAGCATTGGGTGCCAAAGTAGGCAGAGTCAGGCAAAGAGGTATAACCATGCTATTCCTAAAGCTCTTAATCCCAATTCTAGAACAATGTGGTTTTATTTATTTGCTTTCTTGGTTTTTGCTCATTGGGTCCCACTACCCTC